GTTAGACTGGACAGAGAAGGAGTCTATTCCTCTCCATGGAGGGGCCAAGGGATGGGGAAGGGGAAGGAGGTGGGAGAAGGTGAAGGCAGGCCCGACCTGCGGGCGGGGTGGGGGGCGGTAGGGACAGGGAGGCAAGATACAGACAAACATACAGAAAAATACAGAGGAGAGGTTGAAGAAGGGAAGGGAAATTGGATAGGGCGAACAGAAAGGAATGGGAAAACAGAAGAGACAAGTAGTTAGTGACTTGTAATTCAGACCAAGTTGCTCCCTTCTTCCACCCCTAGCACCTCCCCACTCCCGCCCAGCAACCCCCACCTCCGTCTGCAGGACCCAGGTTGGGGGCAGGGTCAAGTGTGGTAAGAGCGGAAGGAAAGGGAGGGTCAGCCAGCTGCTTTATCCCTCCCAGGCAGGCTTTCCTCAGGGACCCAGGAGTCCCAGTTCCCACCTCCCCGGGAGGAAAGGATAGACAAGGAAGAGAAAATAAAAACAGCAAGTCATTAATTAGCAGGAAGTGGCGGGTTTGTTTATACGTGTTCATCACTCCTGAGCTGTAATTTCATGGTGCTGGACCCCCACCCCAGGCCAGATTCGAGCCTTTCTTGGGACTGCACAAACCCAGCACCTTCTCCTCACGTTAGCACACCGTTCCCTAAGGATTTGTGTAGCCTCGGGATCCTACTCTCCCCAGGCCCTTTCCAACCCTTAGAAGTTGGGGTGCCTTGAGTCTACGGTTAGAGTAGGGAGGGGGTGCTGGAGGGGCAAATCCAGGGACAGATGTGTGATCCTGCAGCCGGTTGCCGGGTGACGGGATGCTGCCCCGCAATGTTACCTCGGCAACGGGCTGCAGCTTTAACCCTGGAGGGGGTGTCTGGAGGAAGAGGGGAAGGGGCTGGCTTGGCTGTGGGGTCCATGGGGCATGAGGGGGAGGGCTGAGGTGTGAGTCAGAATGCTAGAGTTTCCACCAATCTTAGCATAGAGGAAGAAGTATATCTGTTGAGGGGACGGGGAGACTAGGGACATCGAGACCCTAAAAGCCCTGCCTCTTGCCCCTCTTGTTGGCCAATCAGAGCCTAGCTCTAGTGACCAGACCTCTAGCTGGGGAAAAGGGGTGTGAGGTGGGCTTGGGAAGGCATCACATGAACCTACTGGCTGCCCCCCTCCCACAGTCTCAAACAGCTTTGGACCCCAAACACCTCTTCATCTTTGCACTACATTTTGACCCATGTCCTGGGGGCCACCCTCAGCTTTCTTCTCATCCCATCCCATCTCATCCTATCCATTCACCTCCCCTTCCCCTTTCCACCCCCCCACCCCAATACGCAGCTGCTGCTCTGATGCCTGGGTGCTCAAGAGGAGCAGGGGCACGACAAGAGAAGAGATCAGACTAAAGGGGCAGGCACCCAGGTCATTTCAGCCAGCCCCCCCTACCCCCCATAAGCTGCCAGAGCTGTTTGCTGACGCGGGGTTTTCAGAGCCAGGCGCCAGCCCGCGGGTGGCTCTCTGCAGGTGTCAATTTATTCCAGAGATGAGGACACAGGAATCCTTACCACACACACCCAGCCATGCCCCCCCCTTCAGGTTCTCTAAAGCTCCTGTTTCCCCATCACCTGGAGGGGGGTTGGGGCTGGCTCCCCCAGAATATCCTCTTCCTATGCCAGACTGGGCTCAGCTGCCATGGCCTTGCTGCCCCCTCCTCCTCCCCCCAAACAGTCTGTCTCAGTCACCCCTTCTCCCTTAGGGTTCTTTGGGCCACTGGCTTCCTCCCGCCAGGCAGTTTCTCTTCCTCCTTCCCTCCCACTGGAGGCCCTCCCCCATCCCTCTCCTCTCCGTAGTGCTCCCTCAGAGCATCTTTCCTGGGCCTCTTCCAGCTTGCTCCAGCTTTTGCCTTCAGTCTCTCGCCCCTTGGTCTTTTTACATCTCTCTCTTCTATATCTTTCTCCTTGGTTTTTCTCATCTTTCTTTCTCTCTCCTCCAAATACCTTCTCCACATTTCTCCCCGAAGCCCCCTCTTCTGTCTTTCCCTGTCTCCCCCATTTTCTCTCCCCATCTTGGTCTGCCACAGCTTGCTTCCTCCTCCTTCTCCCCATCCCTCTGCCTTGCTCTCCATTCCCACCAGCCCTGACTCCTCCAGCCAGGGAGAGTTGAGGGACGGGGGCTCAGGCCTCAGGCCCCCCCTTCCTGCAGTGGTGAAAATGGCTTGGCCAGGAAGGGGAGAAGGAGGGGGAGGGGGAGATGGGAACACACGGGGTCTGTGGGCCCATTCAAAGGATCATTCATGGGCTGGAGAGAGGCAGAGACAAAGAGACCAAGACGCAGAGACACGGCGAGAGCATCCCTAGGCGGAGACACGCAGACAGAGCAGGCTGGAGAAACCAGGCGCAGGGAGGGAGATGGGGAAAGGGAGACCCCAGTGGACCGCCACGCAGCCCCCTCCACCCGGCGGGCTTCGCTCCTACCTGGCTCAGCCCTGGGGCCGTGGTGCCTCCATCCAGGGCTCCGAGTGGGGGGCGGACGGCCTTCGGGAGGGGGGCGGCGGCCTCTGAGCCCCCGCGGCCCCGCAGGCCCAGCCCCCGCCC